ACCCCTCTGCCCCACAACTCCACATCCTCTGCCCCACAACTCCACACCCTCTGCCCCACAACCCCACACCCTCTGCCCTACAACCCCCCACCCTTCTACCCCACAACCCCACACCCTCTGCCCCACAGCCGGATGCCTGGAAGGTTTACGTGTCCAAAGGCACCACCGTCACACGCAGAAAGACCTTCAAGGAAGTGGCCAAGTAAGTGAATCCTGTGATCCCAGGGATCCCATGGGAATTCTGGGATGCCCTGTTGATCTCAGAGTGATCCTGGGGGTCCCACAGTGCCGTCAAGATCTCGGCCAAGCTGATGGGACAAGTGATGGCTCGGAGGGTGAAGGCCACCATCCTCTACGCCACCGAGACTGGGAAATCCCGGACTTACGCTTGGAATCTGTGCCAGCTCTTCCGACGAGCGTTTGATCCCAAGGTTTGCAAGGAAAAGGCGGGGAATTGGGGTGCCTCCTCTCACCCAAACCCCCTCCCCGTGGCCAAAGGCAGGGGTGAGCGGAGACACCAGGTGAGGGGATCCCACCCTGGAGGGATCTCAATCCTGTAATTCCATGAAGGTGCTGTGCATGGATGAGTATGACGTGGTGGCCCTGGAGCACGAGACCCTGGTCCTGGTGGTCACCAGCACGTTTGGGAACGGGGACCCTCCAGAATGCGCCGAGGTTGGGATGAGATTGGGATAGGGATGGGATGGGGATGGAATTGGGATGGGAAACACACTGGGATGGGAAACACATTGGGATGGGAAACACATTGGGATGGGGTCTGGATTTGGGAGTGACATTCCATCCTCGCCAGAGCTTCTCCAAGGCACTGATGGAGATGACATCGCCATACACCGGCACCTCCCAGGCGGAGCCGCCCATGTGAGCACCCGGGGGGCTCGGGGGTCCCTGCTGGGACCAGGGGCTGGGGTAGGACCGCCTCGACCCCCTTTCACCCCCCTGCCTCCCCTGACCCCTCCAGGAGCTACAAGCTGCGGTTCAACAGTGTTTCCCAGTCCGACCAGCTTGTGGCCTCCTGGAAGAAGAAGCGGAGGCAGCTGAGCAACACAGACAGTGCTGGGACCCTGGGAGCCCTGCGGTACTGAGGGCACAGGGCTGGCATGCTGGGAGCCCTGCAGTGCTGGGACCGTGGGGATGGGCACTGGGATGGGCACTGGGATGGGCGTGGGATCGGCACAGCCACAGAGATGAGGACGGGCACTGGGATGGGGATAGGCACTCACCCCCACCCCTGTGTGACCCCACATCCCCTGAGCATCCCACCCCCTCCTTGGGTGCCCCTACCCCCTAGCACCATCCCTGTGTGCTGAGCATTACCTGCTCCCCCACCCTCACGTGTCCACTCTATCCCTGAATACCCCTTGTTCCTGGGTACCCCCCATCCCTGGGCACCTCACATCCCTGGGTGTCCCCTGTCCACGTCCCTGGGTGTCCCCTGTCCCCATCCCTCAGCACCCCACCATCCCTGGGTCCTCCCAACACCCCCGGGCACCCCACACCCCCACCCTAGGGTGCCCAAACCCTCGCTCTGAGGAGCCTGACCCCCCTCCCTCCCCCAGGTTCGCGGTGTTCGGGCTGGGGTCCCGGGCATACCCCCACTTCTGCGCCTTCGCACGGGCCGTGGACACGCGGCTGGAGGAGCTGGGGGGGGAGCGGGTGCTGCCCCTGGGCGAGGGCGACGAGCTGTGTGCCCAGGAGGAGTCATTCCGCACGTGGGCACGTCAGGTGTTCCAGGTACGGGGCTCAGGGAGCTGGGGGGGCCAGGAGGAGTCATTCCACACCTGGGAACACCTGGTGTTCCAGGTATGGGGGTTTGGGGGAGGTACCCACCGGCCCCCCTCCCTTGGTGCCCACCGTGTCCCCCCCGTGCCCCCAGGCTGCCTGTGAGACCTTCTGCGTGGGGGATGGGATGGGGGCGGGCGAGGAGCTGTTCGCCCCCCCCCAGGGCTGGAAGCGGCAGAGGCACCGGCTGGTGCCACAGCCCCAGGCCACCGAGATCCTGGCTGGTACTGACCCCCCAGCACCCCCCTGGCACCCCCAGGACCCTCTAACCCTCTGCATCACCTCCTCCTGCCATCTGCATCTGCCTCACGGCCCCCCCCGGGACACCCCACAGCAACAGCACCCTCCAAGCACCCTGTGGGACCCCCTCGCACCCCACAGCTCT